TGGATGAACATTACTGATTGAGATGAAGATGAAGATCTACTTTAATGCGGAGCTTTGGTGTGGACATGCACGTGTTAGCTGAAAATTCGATGCTCACAGATTGAATAAAGATATCAAGGTTTTGAAGTCAGGAGTGTTGAGAAAATGCTTCGACATAAGCAAATGATGGTCTTTTCAACCATAGTTTTTGACAGAATAGTACAATGTCCGAGGTTTAGCAATCGAAAGATGTTTTGAAGCGGGTTCGACAAGGATAATTTGAAATAAGGCTGAAAGATTTGAATTTTGGCGCTTATATGTTTTTTTTAAAAGAGACGCGTGGAAGCCTGCAAAGGGTCGAATGCATCCAAGCGAGAATATGTCATCTTCTAATAAGAAGACCATTTGTATTGAATCAGTATAAATTAGAGTCTTTAGTTTTAGGATTCCGTGTGTTCAATTATTGTACAAATCACTCATGTTCACTCAAAATATCAAAGTGTAATAGAGAAACAAGTTTTGATAAATGTATGTATGAAACACCACTTTTTATCATTTAATGCAAGTTTATGTTTAAAAGTTATTTACAACTTCTTTAGATTTTTACTTGAAACCTTTATTTCATTTTCCTTTACATTCTTTGTTTTCTTTTTTTTCTTCGTCATTTATCTTCAAATTTACTTTTATTATCGAAAAGATCAATATCCAGAAAACCTATAAAAATAACACAAAATTGTACACTATTATCCTAGGATCAATCTAGTTGATCCTGTAAGTAACTAGAATAATTACATTTTGGAAGATTAGCGGTTGTTTACCAAATTTCACAGTAAACAAATTGGCACATCCAGTGGGACCTAATGTCTAGTTTTTGAAATCTTATTTTTCAAAACAAACTTTTTCTTTGAACATTTTTGCATGAGAATAAGAAGTGGTAGAATAGTCAGAACTAGTGAAGCAAAACCCAAAAGGAAGTATGTTAGAAGAATGGTTAACCCACCAAACAACAATGAAGAACAATCCCTCCTTCGACATGAGAGAATACGACCATCATATCTGTGATTGAAACGATACCTTCTACAACGATTACGATGGCAATCCCGGTCGAATACTCAAAGTGGACCAGTGTTATCCCCTGTAAAACAGCATGGTCAACCATCGACCCCAAGAACAGGAGGGAATAGAAATTTCAGACCCTATGTTCCTGGATTTACGACGCCCATTAATGGCTGCGAACATCCATATGACATGCCAACGTCAGTAATGGCAAGTTTGCACAATAGTGCATCAACATTTTCTGATCCATTGGTGTCTACATTTTCACCATTACAAGGATAAACTCCATGCATTAATAACTTAGGAAGAAATTTCCAACCCCCTGGATTTTCTGCCCAAATGCCTGCTATTACAACAAACTCTGCAGCAGTACTTAGGACAATAAATAAATGACAGTAACCACAAAATGGTTGGAGTACTTGCCCAGTAAATGGGCATAATATTCAACTCTTTGATCCAGAGTACTACCCAGACTAATCAACAGAATACCCAGACGAATCATTAGTTAGCAGCACAAATGGCACGAATTACAGTTTTCTTTGGTGCCCCCCAGCCGCTAGTTTGACAACCCCGTCGAGAATGTCTAAGAAAAAACCAAGGAGTGGTTTTCAAAGAAGATCCAACAATTAACCATGCCTAAATAGTTGCACCAAATGCAGGCAGAGTTAACCAGGGAAAAATAGTCGAACAACCT